AGTCATATAGGCCATATTCGGGCCATTTTGAGTAAAAAGCTTCATAAACCTTAATAAAATGCTCTCCTATACAATTTTAGGGCTTACACACATAAAATTACCCAACATTGACATGTTATGAGAAAGAAATAGTTCATTTGATAAGTAATGTAGGAAATGGGCTACATAGAAGTCATATAGGCCCTATTTGGGCCATGTTGAGTAAAATGCGTTGTTAAACTTATTGAAATGCTATATTGATGTGATTTCTAGCATTAGACAACTAATATTACCCAACAATGACATTTTATGAGAAACAAAAAGGCAATTTCACAAGAAAGGTAGAAAATGGGCTGAATAGAAGTCATATGGGCCATATTTGGGCCATTTTGTTTTAATATGCTATTTTGATGTGATTTCTTTACTTATACACCTATAACTAGATAATATTGACATGTTATGAGATAAATAAAGTTCATTTAATAAGAAATGTAGGAAATGGGCAAAGTAAAGTCATATAGGCCATATTCGGGCCATTTTGAGTAAAAAGTGTCATAAACCTTAATAAAATGCTCCCCTATACAATTTTAGGGCTTACACACATACAATTACCCAACATTGACATGTTATGAGAAAGAAATAGTTCATTTGATAAGTAATGTAGGAAATGGGCTACATAGAAGTCATATAGGTAATATTTGATAAAATACATATTGTTTTGCCTAATTAATTAATTTTAACATAATGTTTTTATATTTCAAGTTTTGCAATGTCCAAAAGGATGGTCCGTTGACAATCAAGGAGCTTAATGAAGTTCGTGACATATTGGCGTCTTTTATCACCTTCAACATGTAAATGGCATTGTAACTGTAAATTATTTATGTTTACTTTTGAACTATATAACTTATTATTCATTATATATTTACTTACTATTATTTGTATATGTAAGCGACTTTTTTTTTGTATTGCGTTTGGGAATATTTATATCTATATATATAATTGAATTCTTGTTTTTAATATTATTTTTGTATCTTATTGTAATAATTAATAATATTATTATTAGTTATTATGATAATAATATTATTAATTATTATATTTAATATAATTGCTGGAAACAGGTTTTTTATTTTTAAATATTATTGCACGAAAATTGGAAAAAAAAACAAAAAAAAAATATTTGGTGAATAGGCATCGGTTAGGCACCACCCGGTGCCTAAAATAGTTACCACCAAAAAACAAATGGCGGGAGAGCAGTTAAAGGCACCAATTAACCGGTACCTAATTGGGCATATGGCACTGGTTAACAGGTGCCTATTTGGGTATATGGCACCGGTTTTGAACCGGTGCTAAAAAGTGGGTTTTTGGCACCCCACACATAGGCAGCCGTTCAAACCGGTGCCTTAGACCGGGTTTGATCCGCTGCCAAAGCACTCTTTTCACCTAGTGTTATTTGGGTTAATATGATTATAATTCAAGTGATCGCCAATAATAGTTTTATTTGTGCATTAATATTTAACCAACATAGACTAAACAGGTTTAGGGTAAACCTATTGATTGCATGTTAGTCAGAAAGCGCACATGAATACGAGAAGAATAAAGTAGAGGCATATTATTAGGGTAGGTTCTTCCTTTTTTATATTGGATTTGTACCTTCATCCCTAAACTTCCTGTCATGGTTCTAGACCTATTGGAGTTAACGATCTCATGGAACGTTAAGGGATGTAACCTTTACCCTGTGAACGGTTTACAAGTTCCTAAAACTTTTTGGCAACTCTTTTGCTCTAGATTCATTCCCTTTGGACGCCACCATGATTAAGTGTATGACCACAGTGGGGTTCAAGTTTGGGGTAACGCTTGAAATATTCCCTACAGTTTTTTGGCGACTCCACTGGGAGGATTTCTATTTTAATTCCTGAAATTTTTTCGGCAATGTTTTTGAATGAGTGGATGGGACTCGAAAAATTCTAAGTATTTCATGTGCGTAATATTGATTAACATTATTGTCATATGCATAAAAAAGATTTCATTGGAAAGACCATCCATAATGAGTTGAAAACGTAGGATTTTTTACACGTAGGAAATTTGACGAATATCTTTCACAACTAGAACCAAAATAATACTGCGAAAAACTGGAAAATTTTACGAACACAGAAAGCTGCTGAGGCATGTAGGAACTGGCGTCTAGCAAACAAAGTCTATTGCCAAAGATATGGCTCTGTCGCCAGGCGACAGGGCTATATCCCGGCGACAGTCCATGTTGGATGGCGTTGCGTTCTTCCAATACAGAACCAGAAATATGAGTTCTGATTTCGACCAGTTCTAGCATTGTTGGCTCGATTCTACTTCCTGATTGATTTTTTCTCACTTTTTTGAAACCAATATGTGTTCTACATATGGACATAACCCTATTGGAATTCATGCTCCATCTACCTGATTGAACACTCTGAGCAACAAAGGGTACATCCGAGAATGTTAAATTCACCAAACCATGGAAGCGAGTTTAACTCGCGGGGTCCCATCCACTCGCGCCAACCCTTCCAAAGGTAAGGCTTCCGCTCGGTACATCTGGAATCATAACCATGGACCCTCAATGACTAACCCATATCCCGAACTTTAGAGAACTAGAGCCATGGTTAGGTTGCAAACTCATTGCATCATATTATGCCTACTTAACTAATTGTGCATTATTTATTGTACATACTCTATGTGTTTTTCCTAACCGTTTGTTTGACATGTGTTTAAGCCTTTAACAAACTAATTAATGGCTAAAAGGACTTTGCCTAATTAATTAATTAATTAATTTGAGTAATTAAAATCTAATAATTTAATCAAAATTGACTTAGTACGACTTTAGGTCTGTCCCATAGAGTAAAAATACTGAAAGCATTCCTAGATTAATGCTCCAATAACGGCGCAAAAGTTTGGGCTGTAGCGCCACACGCTGCTGTGCAACGCCGAGCGACAACGCTGTCGTCTAGCGCTGCAGTGCAGTGTGCGGCGACAATCCTGTTGCTTTGGCGACTGTTCAGGATTTTTCTCGAGTCATCACGACGAGTCTAATTCAACAGTTTGCTAATCACTTCAATTATTTTGTTAATAACATTACCCTTGTTTGGTCCTTAATTGAGTCTAGGCACTTAGTCCCATGGTCTTACACAAGAGTCAAAGCATGTCACTTGCACTCACAAATAAAGCACACACTAATATGTATATACACTTTGACAATATCTAGAGAGTCTTGTATGCGCGTGTTTTCCGTCATTTTTTTAGGGGGGTAAGTCAGATATTAATTCTCCAATTAAACCACTTGTTTGAACCCATATACTTGATTCCCAAAAATATACACCCTATTTTTGCTTTTTTCTTATTATTATATACCGGTAAAGTCAAAGTCAATTTGATTCAAGCTATTAAAATAAAAAATGGTTTAATTTACAGCGCGGGGGCAAGAAAGGAAGGGCGTTTGATCAGAGACAACCTTTTCGTTCAAGTACAGCTTTTTGACAAACCAATCGGTCGAAAAAGGAAAGCCAAGAAGATAATGGCGAGTCAAAAAGAAGTTAATGAGCTCAAGAAGCAAATGGCTGGTGTTACTGAACTGCTAAAGACCTCAACCCTCCAAATTAATGACCTTGTAAAGCAATAACACATGGAGATCATGCAAGAAAGCTTGAGCAAGATATCTAATGATTACAGGTTTCGGGGCATCAGGACACAAGGGGTCTCGGTGGACAAAGAGCTTCTTCCGCAGAAGTTCAATGCCTATGACATCCCAAAATTCAAGGCAATAGATAACCCTTACTTTCATTTAAGAGCTTTTGAAACAATAATGAATATTAAGGGTATTGATAGACAAGTATTCCATTCTTTATTTTCCTTATCTCTTGAAATCGTTTGTCAACAATGGTTCTTTTCCCTTGACAAAGAGAAAACCTCTACTTGGGAATCAATTGTAAACCCTTTCATTGATAGGTATAAATGCAATATTCATGTTGAAACTGATCATAGGTAATGAAGGTTTCACTTCTTTCTTCAATAAATGGAAAGAAACTTCTGCTAGGATGATTGAAGTACTGAGTGAAAAAGAATATGTGAGGTTGTTTATCAAGAACCTCCGAGAAAAGTACTCCAAGCATCTTAAGTACCAAAACAACCTTCATACCTTTAAGGCCGTCTATGATATTGTGATAAACATTGAAGACGACCTTGCTAAACAAAAAGTTGCTAACAATAATTCCAAAAGTGGCTGGAAAGGTAAGAATAACGACAATCTTTCTTCTTCCAAAACCACCCACTCAAATAATGTTAGCACCTTTAATTTGAGTGAAGTCCTTGCTATGAACAACCAAGGACAAAAGAAACCATTTAGGAGGAACTTTACTCCTATGAGTTATGACACCGCATTCGATCGACTGAATGCAAAAGGTCTTATAACTCCTATTGGACCATTAGGGGACCCACTAGTTGAAAAGAGGACAGCTAACTGGAACCCCAATGCACACTGCAAATATCACCAAGGTAGGGGTCATCTCACTGAGAATTGTTGGAAGCTTAAGGAAGCTATCCAAGATTTGATTGATAACAATAAGCTACCATTGCCCCCTGCTAAGGGTGCTCATAACCGAGTACCCGGGTTTTCGGATATCCAAAAGTGCGGGTACCCGGAAGTGCGGGTAGTTATTCTATCGGCCCATTACCCGACCCACTAAAAGCGGGTACTCGCTTATCTGGTAGCCTAAATTTTAATATATATATGTTTGTTTTTTTTAAAAATAATAAACCTTTAATATTATGGACTTAAACGTGCTGATTTTATTAAAAAATTAACTTTATTCATTAAACAAAAACAAGTGATGTTTTTATCTATTAAAAGAACCTATTGATTTCATTAAAACCAAATTCTGATATTTTATTCTAAAATTTTTTGATGTTTTCAACTTTTCACAGTGAACCTGCTTCCAGCAACAAACTAGCAAAATCACATTAAAAATCTGCTTCCACCAAAAAAGTAACCTTATAGCTGCTGCAAATCCCTACAATTCTTCTTATATGGGGTTGTACACCTGTTTTAGTACAAATATTCTCATAATTCAAACAAATTCTGATTCAAAGTACAAAATGCTAACTAAAGTTCAAAGTGTCCAGACTGCACTAGCCATAGCCAGAGAGTTTAAAGAGTCTACATCAAATTAAATCAACAAATTAAACAACCAAATAAATTACAAAGTCCAAACAATGTCTTAAAGCCACAAATCAAACTAAATGGGAGAGGGGATAATTTCAGTCACTTGTAACATCCGAAGCTTCAATAGTTTCATCAATGAAAATTGTTGGTTGCTCCGAAACCAAGTCTGTAATCCCTACAAAAGAAAAATCATTAAAAAAAACATGAATCAATTGTAGATTATCACAAAGGATAAAAAGCAAGTAATAATTTAAGTTACAATCACCTTCTTCTTCCATATTCTCCAACTCAAGCAAGCTTTCCACAATAGCAATAGGGGTATTAGAATGACACATCCAATCTTGGAAAACTTAACCCAAAAAAACGGACAAAAAAACTTTAAAATGTAATACAAAATAACTTGAGTATAATCAAACATAAGCAAAGAAATTAACCAAAAAAATTCGAAACCAATACCAACCTTATAGGGCTGACGGTGAGGACTGACGAAGGAAGGACGTTCGCCTGAGAGAGAGGAAGGATGTTTGCCTGAGAGGGAGGAAGGACGGTGTGTTGACTGTTTTGGAATTGAGATAGAGTAGAGGAGTGAGGAAAAATGGAGTGCGGCTGCTAGTTACTGCTTGTCTGAGAAAGTGAGGACAGAGAAGAGTAGATGAAAGTAAGTAACCCTAATTTGAGTTACAGCTAATAAAAAAAAATCCGGGTATTTAATGGGTACCCGCAACACTCAAAGTCTAGCCCATTACCCGACTGCAAATTTGATATTTTAGCGGGTCGGGTACCCGACCCGCAAAATTGGGAAAAAAAACAAAATTACTCGCCGGGTACTTTGCGGGTCAGCGAGTCGGGTCAAACAGGTCGGGTATTTTTGAACACCCCTACCCCCTGCAAGTAAGAAGCCAAGCATCAACAATGCACCACTCTCCGATTCATTGGCTATCTCTGATGAGGAAAACAATGTTGATCCCTCATCTCTCATCAAACCTGTTGAAGAAATTCATGCTATTGGAGAAGTGGAGGAAACCGTTTTTGATGCCATGGATGATTTTCCTTCTGAACAAGAACTTGCAACCAAGGAAGAAGTACGGATTCTTATATGGTCAATGTGGGAGGGATTAGACTTACTAAGTCAAGCCATTGAATTAACAAAGAAACAAGGAGAGGAGCTTCAAAACAAATGTGCTAAAGTTCCACCTATGAAGAAGAAACCATTCCCTCTCCAAGTAATTGACACACCCAAGAAGAGTAATAAACTTTATACTCCAATTAGGACTTCCTATGCTAAAATGTTCAAATTTCTCTCCGAGAATGGTAAGGTCAAACCTCTCGAATCTAGACCATTTGAATCTTTAAAGAGGACAGACATGTTCTACTGTCCATACCATCAATCAGGGGGACATACCATTGAAAACTGTTTTAAATTCAAATATTTAATTCAGAAGATGATTGATGATTAGAAGCTAGTTCAAATCCCACAAGAACAAGACATAAGCATTAACGGGGTTTGGGACAACAACGATAAAGACGTCTGTCTTAAAGACATGGAAGAACCTCCACTTTGAATGTCATATTCAATAGGTGATTATTGGGATGAAGAAGATTCACCCATAGACGTCCTCACAAGATCCGGGAGAATTCAACCTCCCATCTCTACACAACCTATTCATACCGTGAAACAAGTTCCCATACCTATTATAAAAGACAATGACATTGTCAAACTATTCAAAAAGACCAAGGTCGAAATGAACGTATGGAAACTTCTAGCTACATCTCGAGAACATAGATTGGCAACAATGAAGCCTTGGATAATATAGGGATAGATTCCGATACCTTTCCTGAGGGGTTGGCTAACTTCCTTACGAGTGATCTCCTTAGTCCTATAACTTGATCATGTTTTTTGACAAATATTTACCTCTAGAAGGTGACAAGCATTACAAGGCTCTAAACGTTATAGTAGTCTGCAAGAGGATGAATGTCCCAATGACTCTTGCAGACAATGGATCAGCAATTAATGTCTATCCACTAACAACTGCGAGGATGTTAGGAATAAAGGATGAATACTTAACTCCGTCAACATAAGGAATAAGAGCCTACGACAATACTCGTCACCAAGCTCTTTGAAAAATCACTATGAATGTAACGGCGGGAGCAATAGAACATGCCACTACCTTCCAAGTGGTAGATATTAAGGCTTCCTTCAACTTATTGTTGGGACGCCCTTGGCTTCATGACCTCAAGGTCGTCCCTTCATCTCTTCACCAACAAGTAAAAGCCATAGTTGGAGGAATCCCTATTACAATCGATGCTTCAGCTATGAGGAATAAAGCTGTTGAAAATCCGATCATTAATGTGGAGCACGATGAGGATGATGAAGACTTGTGGGGATTTAATGAAGAGGTCTCCTTAATCGAGGAGGATGAAAAGAAAACACCAATAATTAAGGATACTAAGACGGTTGATATCTTAAATGATTCAACCATTAAAAGAGAAGTTCAAATCGGCTTAACGCTTAATAAACAAGAAAGAACCCATTTAATTAATCTACTCAAAGAATTTATCGATGTATTTTCTTGGTCATATGAAGATATGCCAGACATCAATAGAGAAATAGCTCAACACACTATACCACTAATTCAAGGATTGAAACCCGTAAAACAAAAGTTGCGTCGAATGAAACCCAACGGAGCTTTTAAAATAAAAGAAGAAGTTCAGAAACAAATAACTGCAGGTTTTGTAAGGGTATCCAAATACCCCGAATAGATAGCAAATTTGGTCCCAGTTTTGAAGAAGGATGGAAGGGTAAGAATGTGTGTAGACTATCGAGATTTAAATAAGGCAAGTCCAAAGGACGACTTCCCTTTACCACACATCGATATTTTAGCAGATAATACAACAAATCATGCGCTTCTCTCATTTATGGATGGATACGTGGGATACAATCAAATTCTCATGGAAGAAGAAGACATGGAGAAAACAACATTCATAACACCATGGGTACTTACTGTTACATGGTTATGCCATTCGAGTTGAAAAATGCGGGTACTACTTACCAATGAGCAGCAACTGCCCTACTCCATGACATGATGCACAAAGAGGTTGAAGTTTATGTTTTGAGTGTTTTTGTCCCTTGGGAGAGTTACGTCACGAAGTCTAATCCGGCTGAGTTGTACCTGCAAAAATAACGGAGACTCCGGGTGGGTGGAGCTCCGCCTCCGACGATCAAGTTAGTAACTTGAAAGGGAATAAAGAGAACGGAAATCTAGGTGGGTATCTGCTCGGATTCCAAGCTCAGGTCTTTCTTTGATGTGAGAGAATGCAGATGTAATAAATGATTGAATGTGTCCCCAAAATGGGGAAATATCTCCCTATTTACAGGGTCGTTGGAGAATGTGCCCCCATCTAGGTCACTTGACCTAGATTTTAGTGGGCTGCGCCGTTTTACGGCGCTTCTTGGGATTTGGGCCCTTGAAGGCCGCCATTTCAGAGGCATATCTAAGGGCGCCAAGTGTCAAGAGGAGGTTGAACAACATGGGCCATCCTGAGCTCGACACGTGGCTTCCTCTCATTGGTCCACGTGTCTAGGGTATAAATACCCTAAACATTTGTTCCTCACAGGTCGCACGTGCATATCACGTGGGGCCTTTGACACGTGTCCAACTTTCATAGGTGAACAGTAACGGGTAAAATTTTTGAATTCCAAATAAAAAATTTTCCCCCGCTTTCACTTTCTATAAATAGAAAGTTACCCCCCCTTATTCTCACCTTACATTCACATTTGACTTTTTAGATAGAGAAAAAGAGAGATTCTAGAGAGAGATTCTTTGCTTCCATCTGCATCACAGCAAGTTCAAGTTTCCGGGTGCTAGCAGTTCAACACCCGGTTTACCAACTGTAGCGGTTTTTAGATATTTTAGAGTAAAAGCGAGGTAACCGCCTGTACCATTTTAGCTTTCCTCCCTTTCAATTTGTATACCTAGTTTATTAGAGAATATAAATGTGCTCTCAGTCCACCCACTCGGCACTGCCTAGGACACTCAGCCGATTCCCCGGAACGGCTGAGTCTAGAATAGGGGGTGCCTCTTCTGGACTGTCGGAACCAATATGCTCATCTCCGAATTCCTCCCTCTCTGTGTCCGTGCAGGACACAGTGGCCAGAACGAAACAAACGACCAGACGGTCTAAGAGCCGGCGCACTATGAGAGTGCCATCCGATGAGGTTTTCCCAGACGGGGAACAGAGGGATTGAGAGGAGAGCGGATCTGACGAAGAGGCTCCTTCTACTTCCGGGAGCTTTGGGGTACAAGAGGTAGATGGCGATGGAGCCGCCTCCTCTAATGAAGCCGGCGATGGTGAGGTCGGCCAAGGGTCAAGGGCCGAATCTTCCGGCTCTAACCAAGACAATTTTGCGGCTGACTATCAGCAGCCGCCTAAGGTCACCGATAACCCCAACCCTAAAAGGACCCGGATGCTGCCGGGTAACATCGCCCTCCTGAATAGCGGATTCAGGGCCTTCAAGGAAAAGCACCCCTTTGGATGGGGTTGGGAGATGATCGTTCCTCCGGCTGACGCTGTACTGGCCTGGGGCGATGATATTGACCATGCAGACGACTACTTAATCTGCTACGAGGCGGTTATCGAAGCCGGCCTCTGGTTCCCCCTCCACCCCGGGATTGGGAAAATCCTTAAGGGGTACGATCTAGGGGTTTTCCAGCTCACCCCCAATTCATGGGTGAACATTCTAAGTTACGTCGCCGCTTGCGAGTTTTAAAATTTAAACCCAGCTTTTCCGCCTTCGCTCATATGCACTACTTGAGCAAGGCTCCAGGCGGCCATGGGGCATGTTATACTCTGACTACCTTGCCCCAATACTTGATGATTTTGGACAAAGTGTCCAAATGGTCCGGGTGGAAGGACAAATTTTACTTGATTTCTTCCCCCACTTTAAGACACAACCGGACACTGCGGTGGTACAACACCGGACCGGCTCTTCTAGGCCGGAAATGCCCTCTCCCGGTGCTATCTACTAAGGCCCGAGAGCAACTAATAGAGCCGGCATTCTTTGAGACAATGACTGAGCCCATGGGGGATGGGACTCACATCATAGTTCCCAAGAACTGGATTCCCCATTCGGACTTCTTCAAGGACGAGTGGTTCTTGTCCGCCTGCGGGCTGAGTACCATGTTTCCCAAGGGTAGAATACTTTTCATCCGGAATGATTGTTATTTTATTTTTATTGCAAACTTGCCATTAATTTTTTCTAACCACGAATTCTTGTTCTTGCAGACGACGCCCTCAGAATGGTAGACCCGGCGAAGACACCGGCTAAGTCTGCGGCGCTGCTGCGCAAAGAGGCGACACTTGCCAAGAAGGCAGCCGTCGAGGCAAAAGATTCCAAGAAAGACGGGGTAAGACCGCCTGACTTTATGTGTTTGCATATTTCCTTTTTCTTTTTTTTTTTTTTTTTTTCCGGTTGGGTATACTTAACCTTTGTTTATTTCTTAGGAGTCCGTCAAGAAGATCCCATGATCTTTCTCCAAGCTGCTTAAAAGGCAAGGAGACGATCTGGAGAAAACTCCGGCTGCTAAAGCCGGCAGGAAGGGCCCTCCTCCTCCCCAGAAACAATCATCTGCCCAATATGATCGTCCAACAACCGGGGGCAAATCGCCTGCTGCAATGAAAATTCTGAGCGAAGGCTCGGAACGCTCGCAGCAGAAAGCGCC